GGTCGCCCTGGGGGGTGCCTGCCCGGGGGGGTCCCTGCGGCTCGGGCTGCTGCGGCCGCAGTGCGGGGCTGGCGTGCGGGATCCTGTCCCCAGAGCCACCGCCGTGCACAGGGAGAGGAAGGAGAAAGCGCAGGAATTCAGCAAAAAGGTAAGGCCGGGGCGCGGGGAACCCCCCGCACCGGGCGGGCTGGAGATGGTCCCGCTCAGCCTTCGTGCCGGGGTGGGAGGATGATCCTGGCTCGGCCGCAGGGCTGAGCTGCAGATCCAGGGCATCAGCATCCGAGAGAAGGGGCTGGTAATGACTGGGAGAACACAGGGATGCTGCAAAGGGCCTGGAGATCCTCTGGGGGACGACCACAGGTGCTCATTCCTTTGCACAACAGGAGCGTGTGGAAACTCCCAGGGGCTGATCCCTCTCTCCTGCGTGTCCTCAACCTCTGGGCACATCATCCCACAGGCATTTTAGCTCTTATTTTTGTTGCAAAGGGAAAACCTCGCTGTGATTACATCTTTGTGTTCCTAAAGGCTGCCTAGTGGGTAGTTTACCAAACACATCACCTTGTGCTAATTCTAAATTTGATCATGCTTGTTTTTTTAATCTTTCTAATTTCCATTTCAAAGTAGCCTGGTAAAATACTGTTATGAAAATAGCCAGGCTCGTGGCTTTTTTTTGATCCTGAGCTGATAAAGGAACAAGACATTCATACAGAGGTTCATGGCTACCAGCTGAATCCCCTCAGTCAGCTTCTACATTAAATATTCACAAATAGGCACTGAGGTTTGGATTCATGGGGCAGAGAATCACGTGTGAAACAGATACCTGCTGATGACAGGAGATTAACAAGAGGATGAGCAGTTATTCCATGCTGCCTCCATCTCCTGAAGCCACATTAAACCATGTAAACTTCTCTCAGGTGCTCACAGGAGAGCACTTTGAAGTGAGCAAGCAGGTCACGATGCTGTGAGCACCCACAGCAGCACCCCTGCCCCCTCCTTCCCTGTCCAGCAAAGCCCCCTGTGATGGTCCTGACCAGCCTGGGCAGAAACAGGTGTGTGGAGCACCCGTGCCTCTGGCTCCTGGGTGCTGGAGCACAGCTTGGCTGTCAAATGCCTCTCTACATGGAGCTGCTGGCACAGATGTTTTAAGTGGCTTAATTTTTCTACATGAAGCAGATAATAACAGAAGCCAGCAGGGTGCTTCACCCCCTGGGTGGCCTGGGAGCTGTGCTCTGGTAGGTGCTGCTGGTGCCAGTGCTGTGAGCTCCCAGGTCTCCTGCCCACCTTCCACCAGGCTGGAAGGTCAGAGGGGGCTGGTGGCCCAGGGTTTGTGCCCACATTGCCCACAGGCCCACATCCCTAACATTATGGAAGTGCTCAGGGTCTCAGTTCCAGGTCAGCATCTCCTCTTGTCCCCTGCACGCTCAGGGCCACAGTGAGGAATGCATTGACACAAGGGGTGGCAGCACCCCTGATTCCCACCCCACCAAGCCCTTTGGTCTCAGTGCACGCAAAAAAATCATAGCACTGTGCTGGGATTCAGCCCACCAGGAACACCACAGCCTGTCATTCCCGTGCTGGACCTTGGGACTGAAACCGTGCAAGCCTGCCCAGGGGATGCAGCTGCCGAGGCTGCCCCAGATTCAGTAACCTTGAAGAGCTGCTGCTGCCAGGAGCCCTCCCGGTGCTTTGCGACGGCTGCGCAAACCCAGCGGCACCCAGAGGGCTGTGGGGGGGTCACAGCAGTGCCCATGTGCCTCCCTGGGGAGATGCCAAGTGGGACAAGTGCCTGGAGGAAACAGCTCTTCCACTTCCCTGGGCAAGGGCCTCTCCCAGCCAGCACGGGGGGCTTGGCCAGCCCATCTTGCCAGCTCACCACAGGGGTGCACAGACACCCACTGGTGTTGGTGGGGCTCCCCTCCCCTGGCTGCTGCTTCCCCCTGCACAGGCAGAGCTGGGGGGAAGCAGTTCAACCTGGTGTAAGCAGAAAACCATCACCTCACAGGAAAAAACAAGGTGTGCAGGGACTGCAGGGTGGGCAGGAGGAATTTTCCACATTCCTGGTGGATTTGCTGCACACAGCTAGGCTGCAGGAGAGGCAGCACACCCCCTGCCCAGCACAGCCCTGGGGTAAGGGACAACCCCTGGCCTGGGAAGGGACTGAAAGGGACAGGGTCCCATGCAGGGTAATTGGCTGGATGATAATTAGCTAATTAGTCTGCCTGCCATGGCTGTCACAGATGGAGAGGATGGCTGGAAGCTGCTTATGCCTTTTCCAGGGCTGGTGTTCACATCCACGCTCCTTCTCCCCAGTTCCCTGCAGCCTCCCAGAATTAATAGCAGGGCAGTGTTGACCAGCAGGGTCACAGTGTGATTAGAGGCTGACATACCTGCAGGAGCTCATCATAGTGTCCTCTGTCAGGTAGACTCCAGACCAACACATCAGCTGCCTGCCCAGCCATGCCCATAGGGCCTCTCCTGCAGGGACCCAGCAGAGTTTTGGAGTTTGCTGTCCCAGTGCTGTTTCCAGTGCAATATATGTGTGTTTAACATGCAGAAGAGAGATAATGGGGGCATTTGTGAGGCCCCAGCTGTGCTGCATAATGAGCTGATGGGAGAAGTTTTGCTTTCCTCTCTGTGTGGGTTCCCTCCTTGTCTGCTGACCAGGTGCTGCAATGAGATGGACATGTTTTCTGCTCTGTCAGTGCCTCCATTAACTGCTCTGCTGCTCAATGTCCCTTCCCTTGTCTTTCCTGGCTCCCATGCTGCAGGTAGATGACATCCTGGGTGACCAGCCAGAGGTCAAGGAGAAGGTGTTCACCATCCTGAAGCAGTACGCAGCAGAGCGGAAGGTGGAATACTTGGCCTATGCCCTTTGCATGGTCCTCACCCAGGAGTCCCACCAACATCTCATTGACAACATCAGGTATAGGGTGCCAGCAACCTCTGTGCTGGTCTTCAAACCTCAGACATCCATCTGTCCACTGGTGACAAGCATGTGGGGCTAAATTGTTCAGGCACAGAGGGGTCAGAAGTTCTTGTGGGGAAGATGCCAACAATCCCTTCCCAAGGTGCAGCTGAGCTGAGTTTGGTGGAGCCGTTGTTTCAAAGGGTGGTGTGGTTACTTGCAGAGCAGCTGGTGAGTCTCTGAGAGCCTGGCTAGAAAACACACCCAGCTCTGGGCGAGGGGTGGGCCAGGGCTGCCAGCAGCACCTTGAGATGCTGGGGCTGTGGTCACACATCCCGAGATGCTCTGGCAGTGCTCCATTTGGGCTCAAGGCCCCTGGCACCCCCAGCAGCAGGGCCGTGCCGTGGGGGTGCAGCCGCTTTGCTGCTCTTCCCGCCGCGCCTGCGGGACCGCGGGATGGTGCCGGTGCCTGGACATGGGGTGGGGATTATGGCCAGGCTGAGACCACGGCCATTAGGGAATCAGGTCTCCATCTGGCCCCACTCTGGGCCTGACTTTCCAATTCCTGCTTTAATCAGTGGAATTGCAAGATATTACAGTTACCATAACAACATCCGTGTGCTGGGGTCTCTGCCGCGCTGCCGCGATCTGGCAGTGGGGAGGGTGGGGAGAGCCCTGGCCACCCAGTGTGCCCCTGCTCTGCCATGGCTCTGCATGGGCCACCCAAACCTGAGCGAGGAGGGGCACAGAACCCTGCAGAGCCAGGGTGAGGAAGGGACCATCACCTTCCCAGCAGCCACCTTGCCCAAGTGCCCATGTCTGGGCTGTTCTGTCCCCCCAGTGTCCTCGGGCGACCTGGCAGGCAAGTGGTTCGGCTGGGGACAGCACCAAGCCCTGTCTGATTCATGAACCCATCTAGTACCAGTCAAAAAAACCTCACCACCGTAGTTCAGAAGAACTTTTCCCAGCCACACTCATGTAAATGCCTCAAAAACCTTGGGGAAATAGATGAAATTTTTATAGAGAGGACTGTGATAATGGAGCCAAACTGTGCCCCCATGTGAAAGGTTAACACTGGGGCTGGGGCAAGAGGCACCATAAATCAGGCAGCTAATCTCATTTAATAGAAATGAAATATTTAGCTTAGGGGAAAGATTTACCATCTAATCTGAATGAAATCAAGTCAAGAAAATAATAATAAAAAAAGCTTTGGTGACCAGGTTTCCCAGCTGTGGGGGTCTCGGGGAGGGGAGGGCAGCCCTGCATGTGCTGCTGTGCGTGAGACAAGCTGCTTATCCTGGGGTCTCCTGTCTGATAGGTTTGCTGCCAAGCAAGAGCTTTTAATGCTTTAATATCTCATGGAAAGCTGGTGAGCAGCTCCCGGGTGCTCTGGGTTTAGGGAGCACTGTGGATTCATGTGGGTGATTCCTGCAAGGGTCCAGCTGGATTGTTCTGTTGCTGGCTGAGGAGGGATCTGGGGTCTGTGCCCCAGCCAGCACCTCGGGGTGAGGAAGGGCTGGGTGGGGGATTTGTCCAAGGAGAGGTCCTGGCTCTGGTGCTAACTCTGGGGATGGGCCATCTCGCCACCCCCGGGGTGCAGGGCAGCTGCCGCAGCAGCACCGTGTGTCCCTGCTGTTTGGGTGGGTGGAGCATCCCGGGGCCCATCCTGCGGGACCAGCTCTGCGGCACATCAAACCCACCTGAGGACAGGCTGGGGACCCTGCGGGTACCCCTCAGCCAGCCCGGGCACCTCTGCGAGGCTGTGCCTGGCTCCCGGGGGCTGTTTCCCTCCGAGATGCGGGGCAGTCCCGCACACCCACACTGCCAGCTCACCCTGCAAAGCGCGGGGCAGAGCTGCCCAGAGCAGCCCTCGGAGGGGCTGGGACGAGCCCCTTCCATCCCTCTGGGGATGGTGGTGCCCATGGGCCAGGGTCTGGGCAGAGATACTGGGGGCGATGCTGGGGGATGCTGGTCCCCAGCACTCGCCTGGTGCAGCCCCGGTTCCCAGCCAAGCCACGGGCTGCGTGGCGGTGTCCCGCCC